AGTGAAATTAGTCAGTCACAAAAAGAGAAATACTGCATGGGACCACTACTGTAAAAGACTAAGAAAAAGAAATTATACTAAAGGGGGGTAGAGGGGAAGTCTTTGTTGGTTGCTGGGAAGTGGGTGATGGATGGGGGGAAGGGGGGAGGGTAGAGCGCAGGGTGGGGATTGGACTCAGGAGAGCTTGGGTGCTGGGGCGGGGGACAATTTACAGGGAGGGAGAGGGAAGTGGTGAAATGGGGCAGATGGGAAAACAATTGGGCATGTGTGAATGGGCCAAACGGGACAGAGATAAAGGACGATATATGCACAGCCTTGGAACTGCAGGGTTCTGAGATACAGGGATTGAGTCATGGTTGTAATGGGGGGAGGGAATCGTGTCAAGGTGCTTGGCTGTTTTTTGAATCTTGGTTTCCCTTGCATTATAATATAGAGTAGACACTGAAGGGGGAGAGAAAGGAATAGTCAGAAACATCACACTAGAAGGCTTGTAAGTCCATCTTCTGCCCATATCTGATTGGAATACCTAAAATGGGGCTATGGCATACCCAGTGAACGAGGCTTCCTGTGGAGCCTTTGCAATACATAAAACTATAGGTAGAAACCAGAACCACATCCAGATCACCAGAGATGAGAAATCTCCACTTGAAAGGACAAGCTGACTAGCCTGGAGCAGCAAGAAGAACAAAAGATACTTCTCGAATGAAAGATCTACAGGAAAAATACGAAACAATGGAGGTAGTTTGACGGTTACCACAGGAACAAACGGGCCGCTTCTCTAGGAGACAACGGGGCAGGTGGTCGGGTCCTCTCAACTCAGGCCCCCTTCCGAGACTGAAACTCGTAAATACACGCTCTGATTGGTGACCACACGCATCACCGATGGGGAGAAGTGGGGTAAAGGCAGCAACGAAGTGGTGAGCTAAGCCTTACAATATTCAGTGGGCTTCTGTGGACCCAGTTGGGGGACCTGATTGGCAAGCAGTGTGAGGAGACCTGGGGACTCCTGGGCCCAGAGTCAGTGGCGTGGCCACGGAGGACACAAGTGGAGAATGGAGCTGCCGGCTGATGGAAAGAAAGGGCATGTGCACAAGAACACCATCTGATACAATCTGATGAACTTGACCTATACCTACAAATGCAGTGACTCAAAAGAGGCAGCAAATCCTTACAGCAAGATACATTCCCACCCCCTCCACACACAGAGTAGACAGAGAGGGGCAACTTGGACATTGGATACCCAAATTGGGGGGGGTGGGGACTACAAAGGCAAGAAGTGACTGGCTCACAAGCTGTCAAGAGGGAACCTAGAGCTAGGGGGCATGGAGGAAGGCAGAATCACCAGTGAGTACTATCCAATCTGTCTGGGCGGAGCTGATGAAATGAAATACAGATGGGTAACTCGCGATACTGTAGTGAATAATGGTTATCAAGACTGACTGTGAGGGTTGGAAATGTAAAGGTAGACGTTTTGTAGCAAGGAAGGGAGTAATTATTTCGCCAGTCCAGGAGCGGAGGTCTCTGCGACCATCAACGGAGAAGAGCTGAGAGCGGGACCCTACCCAGAGAAGCAGGGATGCCTGAGATAGAGACAGAGACAGAGACGATGACGTGGGGTGATGAAGCGGCTGGGGACTTTGGATCCAGAAAGGGAGAGAGGGAGAGGGACTGTGGGCCGAAGACTGGGGGTGGGGAGGGGAGAGTGTAGAGGACGGGTTTCTAGGATATACCCTTTGGTCGGAAGATGATGCATGGAGGGGATTGGAACCATGGCAATGAAATGATATACGATGGAATGAATGTAAAACTAAAGTTCTCTCATGTAAACTATCATATAATTCACAATAAAACATTTAAAAAAAAAAAAGATGCCTGGCTTCCACGCTCCATGGCTCTGTAAGGAGGGCTGCTTTGCCAGGCTCCTACCTGTGGATGAAGTTTTTCTTCTCTAGGTACTCCATGGCTGAGGAGATCTGAGTGGCCATGTACAGTAGCACCACAGCATTCACCTCCTGCCGATTGCACTCCCTCAGGTAATCCAACAGGTTCCCATAGGTCATGAACTCGGTGATTATATAGAATGGAGGCTCCCGGGTACAGACCCCTGACAACAAGACACCAAGAGCTTCAGCGTGCTGCTCGATTCTCAACTGAACAAGCATCAGAAAGGACAGGCCCTAAAGGAAAAGGTTTCTGAAATGGATTTTTGACTATGCTCCTCTGTCTTAGATCTAACCTTTAATATGGTTCCAAGCACTTGTGTCCTGAGACTGTGCTCCTTTGGGAGGGACACAGCCATATTCTTTTCTTTCTTTCAAGCCCATGAACTTGGACAGTAAGAGGTGCTGCCACTGAGTTCAGCAGTAAAGAACAAGTCCAATACTAAATGATGTAAACCATTGTCTGTCTACCCCAAATCAACTTGGATAGTTACATCTACTTAGAGAATCACCTGAGTGAGACAACTCTCAAAAATCCTTACATTTCAAGAAGCCAATTTGAGATTTGCGTTATCTGACTACTTTCAGGTACTGATTTAAAGCAACACTTTCCTTAGTCTCTTCTCACAGGTACGTCATCCCACACAGACCTGTACCCACACCAGGGGCTGATTGTGGGTAAAGACGTCCACATCAGAAATCTTAACACAGTCAGCTGCTTATCTCTTCTTTCATAACATCGGCCTCACGTCTGAGGGTTTAATTAAAAGTCCCTCTCTTCAGGGCTCTGCACACTCACCGAGTAACTGTACTAGATTAGGGTGTTTGATCTCTTTCATTACTGCAGCTTCTTTCAAGAACTCTTCCACCTCCATGGTGTCCTCCTGTGGAAAAAAAGGGGTGAAATTACTTCAGCAAGGAAAATGTTTAAGTGGGAGAGCATGACTTGAATGATTAACACAATCTGGAGCTTCAACATACGATCGCCCAGGTCCCACACGGACCTGGACATGTTCAGTAGCAGCTGATCCGATTATCGTCCCATGGCGGAGACTATTCTCCCCCACTATTGTGCTGTCTGAATGCTCACCTAGGGCAACAAATCAAAGATGACCTGTACATGTTGGCAACTTGGTTCTGGTGGCACCACTGTGTGGAACTGAGATGGAGGCGAGTGTGTGGAGGAAATATGTATAGGCAAACATGGTACTATTTTCCCTGAGACTAGCTTTGGCATCAAATCAACTAATATCTACTTTCCAAGGAGTCCTAACACCCCCAACATTAAAGAAAAAATAATAACTTGAAGAATATGAAACAGCTCTGATTAAAGAAACCAGCTATGCCCTGGTGATAAAAAAATATACTGACTAACTAATGAAGAATGATGTCTCATAATATGGCAGGACCAGAAGATGCTGAGTTGCTGAGAATGCAGTGTCATCGGACTCTTAGTGAAGCAATCACCACTGTCTGTCAGGTCAATTACTCAGATATGAAAATCACTCTCACTAGCAGCTCCCATAACAATGGATTCACAAGTATCATCAGTACTTGTAACGTTCTAGCAAGTTCATAGTATCTAAACACTAAGGGGGGGGAGAAAAAGACATTAACAAATTGCCAGAGCGTTTATGATAATACTTATATTTCTATATTCCCTCACTTATTCCCAGTCTAGGCTAAGGTCTCAAAAGCTGTAGCCTGGTCCTGTGCAGGAACCTTTCTTTGGCTAATGATAGATATCATGAGGCCTCTTTTTCACTTAAAAAAGAAAAACACACACACACACACACAAAAACTGTCCTTTGAACTGACCATCAAGAAGCAAAGGGATGGTAATTTATAGGGTCTTTTCAGCTGTGAGAACCTGGTTAGGTAACCAAACAGCGAAGATACGAATCCTCCCAGTTTCAGCACGGAGTGTGAGTTTGTCTGAAGAGAAAGCTTGTTGGAATAGGAGCCAGGGGTTGGCCTTCTTGAAAATGATACTCCCTGAGGAGGAAAGCTTTATCAACTTTATTTTAAATGTGTATCACTACACATAAGGAGCACAGGTAGCGTAGTGGATTATGAGCTGAGCTACCAACCAAAAAGTCAGTAGTTTGAATCTATCAGTTGTTCCATGGAAAAAAGATGAGGCTTTCTGCTTTCATAAAGATTTACAGCCTCAGAAATCCTATACAGGGTTGCTGTGAGTCAGAATCTACTCGGTGGCATACCACCATCACCACCACCGCTACACATGACACCTAAACCCTTGGGAGACAGAGTTAAAGTGTTCTTACTACAGCACTCACTGTGCCTGCCCCAAGTCCTAAACCCTTACGTAGAGAAGACTTACAGAGGACAGGGCAACCTTTACTTCAAGCTTTCTTGCTTTGGTCTATCATGCTTACAAGTGAGGCATGATCAATGACAATATGTGTCAGCCTTGTATCACTTAGCTTAGGATTCTGTAAGACTGAAACTTAGAAACAATTTATTGCTCTTTCAAAATGGTGAGCTGCTCTTCATGTCAATTAAACATCGTTGGTAGTCACAGTATCACGTTGTCTGGGAGGAAAAGAACTCATCCCTGCTGCTCCCTCATTGGCTGTTTAAGTCTTCTGCATCCTCTCTGCTCCTTAACATGCTCAGCAGACCATGCCGTTTTTGGCATGGAGTGCTTGGATTTACCAGGTGACACACTAATGTCAAAGGCTGGAAAGAAGGCCTGCCAGAATCAGGGAATTCCATGCTGCTCACGTACAGAACTGGGGGCCTTGCAGATCGTGCCTGGTCAACAATATGTTCAAAAGTAGTTCTGAAACAAAGCTTTCTAGACAGGTGGAGTCTGTTTTTTAAATCACCACATAATAAATCATGCACAGTGATATAATTTCAGAAACATCATTTGGTCTTAAGGCTACCAAGCTTTTTCTAAAAGAACCATGTTATAAATTTTAAGGGGGTGTAGATATATAAAAGGAAATATACAGTTCTGAAAGGCATTTCTCTTCACTTTTTGTCTTTCTGTCTGGAAACACAAACATACTGAAAGACACATGGACAGTGTATCGAATTCCTTATTTTTTTCTTTCCGGAAAATCGGTATGAACTTGTCTCCCCCTGCTGGCATCTAAGTTCAATTATAATATATTTAAACTATTAATAGCAACTTACGTTTGTAGTTGTGTTAATTGGCAATGTCTCTGATGCTGTTCTGTTACATCTCTTTACTTATATTTAAAGTTTTCTCATCATGCTTTCAAAGAGAATTCTTCTATTCAATAAGTAAACACTGCAAAGTCAGATTAATTACATATTGAGTTTTCAACCTTGTCTCTTCTGAAACCATGGTTGATGGGAGATGGCTGGCAAAGATGGACAGCCCTGACCCAGATGCACATAAATGTTTGAATGATACAGCGAAGTGGTTAAGAGGGTGGGCTTGTGAAGTACATTGAACTTAATTAGCTCTGTTGCTTAATGACCTTGGAAAGTTACTTACCCTTTCTGAATCTGTTTTCTCATCTGCAAAACGGAGAGACAGAAGTATCTAGGCCATTCACAAAGAAAGAAGAGTGATGGGTACGGTACCCAGAATATGGCCAAATTCAGTCAGTGGTACTCACTTTCACTACATAGTAAGACAGCTGATGTCTATTCCTGAAAGGTAGACTGAACATATTGTTTGTACGGAATGAAAGGATGGTTCTTTAATTAATCTTTTTTTTGTTTCTTCACACAGATAAATTCTCCCAGATTCAATGTCTCACAGGTATTTTCTAAACAGTTTAATCTTTTTTTGTTCATTGGCCTCAACTGTACATATTTTGCACTATAAAAAAGAGAACTGTCCTTAAAAATGACTCCACATCCTCCCTTTCTTCACAGTCTTTAGATAAACAGACAGAAAAATTGGTTTCCACGTCTGCTCTGGTTTTTAACCACATGTTAGGTAAAATGTGACGAGCCATCCTTCATTGGTTGGGTGGACAGGAGCAACACGTTGAAAAGTACACTGTAGAGCTGGTGCCAAGTTTCTGAGCTAGGTAAGGAAGGGGGCTCACAAACCAGATGTGGGACCTAAAGCTCAAGTTACAAGTTCACAAGAAATAATGTCATAGAGGAACCCCAGAAACTCGTCTCTGAATAGTGCAACGTGCCTACCTCCATGACCAAAAGGGAAGTCACTGCAAAGCATCTTGCAAAGTGCCACATGACAACAGCAGGCATCTCTCCCTCCCTATGTACAGTCTCCCCTTGTAAAGTCAGAGAACCACCATGGTCATTTAAAGTTAGTAATGCTGCCACAAAGCTCTTCCTCTCTGTTCCTTTCTGGTGCTGGTGGTTATGTGCCGTGGAGTCGGTTCCATGTCATAGCGACTCTGAACAGGGTTTCCAAGGGTGTAAATCTTTACAGGAACAGAAAGCCTCATCTTTCTCTCGTGGAACAGCTGGTAGTTTCGAACTGCTGACCTTGTGGTTCGCAGCCTGATTCGTAACCACTACGCTACCAGAGCTTTCCAATAAAATCAATTTTCTAGGAACAAAAACACATAGTGTTGGTGAGGGGAGAGCAAAGTCACACTTTCTCTAAGAATTCCTTGGAAGGCATTTTGGGAGTACTGATCAAATCCATAAATGTTCCTGATCCAGGAGTTCCACTCTGAGTCGACCCACCAGGATACTCTCACATGGGGGCAAACAAGGTTAAGTCCTACAGCACCATTTGCATAAGCAAAATCCTGGAATTTACACAAATGCCCTCAAACCTAAGGGGTTCATCTTCTGGCATTCTATCAGACAATGTGCAGCTGCTATTCATAAAGTTTTCAGTGGTTTTTTTTTAGAAGTGGACTGCCTCTTCCTTCTTCCTAGTCTATTTCAAGATCTATCCTGAAATATAGTGCTATCACTATAATATCGATCAAACTCACAATCAAGATGCACTGATAATTATCGGTGACTGGAATGCCAAAGTTGGTAACTGTAGTTGGAAAATATGGCCTTGGTGATAGAAGCAATGCTGGAAGATCACATGACAGAATTTCACAATGACTTAATTCATTACAAATAACTTTTTAAATAACATTAACAATGTCTACACACAGAGACCTCATCAGATAGAACACACAAGAATCAGAATGACTACATCTGTGAAAAGAGATGATAGAGAAACTCCACATCATCAGTCATCATAAGGCCAAGGGCTGACTATGAAACCTCAATTGCTCATCTGCAAATTCAAGATGAAGCTGAAGAAAATTAAAGCAAGTTCATGGACGCCAAACTACAATACCTTGAGTACTGCAGTGTAATGAGTTAGCTAATCTTTTCTAGCCAGAGGCTCTGTAAACTCCCACAACTCCCACCAAACAATTTATTTCTGATAGACATGGGTAAAAGAAAGTGGGGGAAGATGCTGATGTGCTACATGACTTATCTGTGAGTACTGTGAACAGAACTGTGGTTGAAAACACCTGGAAATCTAATGAAGGTATTGGTCAATGTTACCATCCTGCTGGGATTAAAATAAGCCATCAGAAGCAGAATGGAAAATCTCATTATCATCAAAGAAGAAGAGTCAGGAGTGGAGTGCATCCTTTGGGACCCGAGATCCCTGTGCAGTGAACCTCCTCGACTCAGAAACAGAAAGCTCTAACACTGAAGAAGTTACAAAAGCAGCAATACCAAGAACCACAGCTTCCCTGCCCAAGGAGCAAGTAAAGCTGAGTAAATTTGGGCAGGAGGCTTGCTTGCAGAGTGGGGTGCCTCCAGGCATTTAATTAGGTGGAGCTAGGTTTACTGACCCATGTAGCTAGAGTCAAATGCTTTCAAGATGAGGTTTATGGTGCAGCAGTGTTTCCTGTGGGCATTTATCAGCAGCCTTAAAAGA